GTAGTTTCTCCACCAAAAAACAAGAACACATTTCCAGCCCACCAGGATGCGGAGGGAGGATCCTGACCTGTCCTGCTTGCCTCCCCTCCCTAGGTAAAGGGCAGATACTTTTAAGGAGCTCTTTAAGAGTGGTTTGGATGACTGCATGATCACCTTTTCCCCTGTTGGCTACCTCTCAGTGGTGGCCTTCTACTCTGCAGAAGGTCTGGCAAACAAGAGACTTTCAGAGTGTCACCTGGAGCTGAGAGCTTTTTGGTGAACATCTACTGCTGAAGGACTTCACAGGAAGGATTTTACAGCTGAGCAAGGCAAGGCATAGAGCGTTCACCCAGCTTTGTCCACAGAGCTCCTTCTGGGAGCAGTGGGTCCTGCATGCAGAGCACAGTCTGCACAGGGTTTGGTGTGCTGGCAGCCCGGGCTGGACACAAACCAGCGAGCTCAGGAGATGAAAGTTAGCCTGAGAACACTCTGTGGAGCCAACAGGTTGCCTGTGCCGAGGAGATAATCCATTATAAACAATAAACAGAGATGTCAGCACTCTCTAAGGAGGCACTCACAACTGGTGTTCATTCTTTTTCAAGGACGCCCATTTGTCGGATCTGTCCTGGAGATAATCTGAGATGCTCCAATGGATGTTTTCTTAAAACATGGGCTTTTTTCATTGGGCGCATGATTGTGCTTGGTCCCCTTCCTCTGAAAAACACAATGCTGGCACCAACCCAGGTGACTGCGTGTTTGAAATGTCCTTTTTGTAACGGTGCTGCTGTGTCTGGAGATGCTGTGCGTGAGTGGCTGTCCTTTTTTTGTCCATCCTTGGAAGGAGGCTACTGTACTGGTGAATTTTAGGATGGAAAGCACTGGGAAGGACCAACAGGTGTGCAGAGAGAAACATTTAAGCTGGAGAGATGGGAAACTCTTTGTAATGTTTGCTTTTCTGTACTGAAAACAGGCACTTTGGTTTGCTGAGAAGCAGCTTCCCCCTAGGAAGCCTTTAGGACCCAACTGGAAATCTTCAACCAAACGCTGAGCCCTACATTGACTGTTGGTGGCTTCTTCCTATCCCACCCCCCCTGTCACAGCTTGGAGCTGGAGAGTTTGGCCACGCTCGGCCAAAGCTGCAAAGCTGGTGTGCGGTTGGCAGTGCTTAGCGCGTGTGTGCATTCAGGCTGCTGGCTGGGATTGCTAGGAAGCCAAAGGAAGAGGCAGCATAAGACTTTAATCCCCCTCCTATCTGAAGGCTAAGTTAACCCCAGCTGCACTGACATTTTCCAGCCTGAAGCCAAGTGGCTGATTACATGCCTCTTGCTAGCGGCAGAAACCTGCACAGATGGAACTTACACATCTGCAAGCCCCAGGGGGTTAAAAATAAACCCCACCCCACCGGTGGCTGTTTCATGTCCATTTAGAGGTGTGCCATGCTTTTCATGCATTTCCATTCTAATAATCCTCTGTGAGACCTGAGAAAATGCCTCGGTGGCATTTTGATGTTTTGTTCAAGGCACTTTTTTTTTTTTTTAACTACTGCTATCTGGGCTAGCTCCCCTCTGCAGAATTATTTCACCAGAAGTACATTTGCCATCTATGTGCCTTGTTCTAAACTGGGAGCTACAACGTGTTTACCAGCACGTTTATGGCTCTCTCTGCCACTGCTGTGCAGTAAGCAGCAAATGACTGGGTGTTTCTCAGCAAGGCAGAGACTTGGTCTCTGGAATGGGTAAAACATTTTTGCTTCTTTGCTTTTTTCTTTTTTTTTTTTTTCTTTTTTCTTTTCATGCCCCAGTGCAGGGAAGCTTTGTTCAGAAGAGCACCATCTGAGCACACTTATTTGTGTCATCCCTGCAGAGTGGTGTCACTCCTTTTGGTGTGGATGTCCCAGCAGGTCCCTGGCTCAGGCATTATTCTGAGCACCTGGGGCATCCTCAAGAGCATGTCCTTTGCAGGAGGAGCCATGCACGCACCCTGGAGAGCAGCAGAGCAGAGCAGCTGGGCCCAGACCCACAGCTTCTTGGGCTGTTTGAGATGCGGATGGGATAAGGGGATGATTGTAACATGTGGACAGCATTTGGGTGAAGGCAGAAAAAGGAAAAGACAGGTTCTTTGTAGGTCCTGCAATGGAGGGGAGAAGCTGTGGTTGCTGAAGGAAGGGGCTCACAAGGTTGCTCTGCTCTATGTTTTGGGGAAGGGACCGGTGAGTCAGTGGGTATGGAAAATGAGGAGAGTGGCAAATTCAAAGAGCCCCTTCCCCGCCACAGGGAAGGGGACAAAGCTCCTTGCTTGAATGCTCACCTTGGAGAGACAGAGGCTTTGTGAAGGGCTTCTTTTCCTCTGAGTGGAAGGAATGGAGGAAGACAGGAACTGGAACTAGAACAAAGCTGGAAGATGTAAAAGTGAAGTTTGAGCAAAGCAGCAGTGTGAGCAGGTCATGGCTATGCAGCTGGCGCAGCTGTACTGGAGCATGTCTTGACGCTGCTGCAGCTGGAGCAGGGAGCTCAGGACAGGGGCTGGGTGTTAGCAGATAACCCCCAAGAGCAAACCTGCATGAAGATGAGCTTTCTCTGCCAGTGTCCACCGCATCCCAGTCGCTGTTGGTTGTACCCAGCCACTGCATGGTGCCTGAAACCCAAGAGAGCCTGGACAGCCTCCAGGAGGCAGGCACAATTCCCATATTGAGCCAGTCTCGCTCTTTCCCTGCTAGCACCCAGCATGGTTTGCCTTCGTGGGGGCTTTTATACGGGGCTGCATTCCTGCAGCAGGAGCCCCCAGCCAGTCAGCGCAGCCCAGGCCATATTAGGGACGCTGCTCACCAAACCATGGCTGCATGCCCTCTGCACCTCCCCAGCAGGGCTCTCTGTGGGGAGGAGGAAGGTGGGCAGGTGGGAAGTCTCTCCTGCTTGCCCTGCCTCTCTCCTGGCTGCGTATAGGCCTAGGTTGTGTCAGGCTCAGTGGGCAGACTGCAGAGGTGCTGCTGGGGCTGGCACCTTGGCCATCACCCTGCTTCTGGCTCTAAGGTCTATTCCTTGCAGGGACCTCCTTGACCTGACAGCAATGATGTACAGCATTGTAGTGCTTGAGGAGCAGAAAAGTGGGGGAAAATGGCTGATACCAGTAAAAAGAAGAAGATGTGGGCAAGTCCACTGATCCTCCTCTAGCACCTGCTGCTACAGAGCATGGAGGAAGGCTGGGCTGTGGGGTCTGATGCCAGCTCTGCCATTGCCCATGTGGAGCTCCTGGCTCACCTGGCCTGCCACCTGCAAGAAGTCAATGATGGGGACTAGAGGCAGAACTAAGGCCCTCCAGGGAAAAGGGTTTTAAAAGTGAAAAGCATGTCTAGAATTCGTGTTCAGGTTCAAATGATGTCTTTAGATTTTTAATGAAGGAAAACAACAGCAAAATATGTGAGGGAGGAAATTCTCATAAATACTGTAGTTCTTCATTCAGGCATCTGTGGAGCTGAAGCTACTTAATAACTGGCTACTCTCAGCCTGTGTATGTAGATCTCTGCCATGAGGCACTGAAGCCAAAACTCATTAGGATTAAAGAAATAAATGTTTACATAGCTACGCTGAGCTGCTGTGCTGAGGAGCTGGAGCAATCCCTGCGTGTGTGCATGGAGCTGTGCTAAGAGGCTCTCACAAGAGTTGCCTTTCATCTCTGTCATCTGTCTCAGTGTCCTCCCCCAGAGCCACAAACAATGCCTCAGGGCTGGGAAGGGGTGATGGCTGGCCTGAGGCATGTTGGGCCCTGCTGACTGGCCTTGGGGGGCCTGTTCCACAACGCCTTAGGGCTGGCTATGGTGGGCCGTGAGGAATGTGCGTGGGTAAGGTGTGGCTGTTGGCATAGGGCATCTCCACAGGCTTCTGTGACAGGCCTTGTTGCACAAATTGTCCCTAGTGAGTTTCCAAGTGTGCCTGCTGCCAATCTGCCCATCACTGGGGGATGTGTTGCAAGAGATCCAGGACAAACTGGAGTGTATGGACAGCTGGGTGCTCGCTTTCATGGCAGTGAGGAAAAATGGCCCTCAAAAAGGCTGGCACAATGAAGGTGAAGGCTCTTAACTGCAATCAAGTGCTGTTTGCAAAGCGCTGACATCCTGTGGCCTGCCCTGAGTGAAAATGCAGGAGGTGGAGCTGGCAGCGAGCCGGCCTGCTGTTGTGGTTCTGGGGTCCCTCTGTGAAGGCTGAAGCACGAGTTAATGGCTGTGAGGAGATCTGTGGGCATTGGGGTGCCCGTGTTCCCCGTGTATGGCCGTGTCCGCCTCAGCAGAGGGTTGTTTCCCTGAGGAGAGGCTGCGCACAGGAGGAGAGGAGCCCGTGCTCCAGCAGCCAGCTCGCAATCCCAGCTGCCCAGCCAGTGCTTTGCAGGGTGGTTCAGAATGCCATTTAGCACACAATTACAGCTTCTGGACAGAAAGCAGATGCTGCGAACCCAGACCTGTCATCTGCCATAAATGTCATCTGCCCATACATCCCTGGTTTATTGGGGAGCGATCTATGCTCCTCCCTGGCCCGGGCGGCCGCGTCAGCCCCGCATCTGGGCGAGGGCGGTGGGTGGCAGAGACACAGCGGGCGGCCACTAGAGCCCTGGGGGTGTCGGCACGTGTTAAATGGGAAGCCGCGTGGTTTGCTTGCGCCACGGCGGCACGGATCGATCGGCGAGAGGATTGCGTATCTCGGGTGTCTCTGCCGGCTCCAGCGGTCTCATTTACGCTGGTTCGGGCAAGCCGGCCTCCACCGTAGCAAGGCGAGAGGAGAACGACGTTTGCCCGCCGCCTAAAAATAGGACAGCCTCCCGCCGCGCTCCTGAAAGCCGTCAGTGCCCCCCTGCGTCGGAGCAGGGCGCTGTTCAGTCTCACCGCACGGCCCGGCGCACACCCCGCCGCTGGGTGGCGCCGTCGCCAGGCGACGCGAGGAAGCTCGAGGGGGGGGGGAGTCGGCGGCGTCGCGCCGCGATTGGCGCGGCGGGAGGGGCGGGGCCGGGCGCCGCTGTTTGGATTTAAACGTTGCAGCGGGAGGGGCGGGCTCGGCCTGCGGCGCAGCGCTACGCGGCGTTCCGTGGCGTTCCGCTCCCGGCCCCGCCGTCGCCATGGTGGTGCCGGCGCGACGCGTGAAGACGGAGTACATGAAGCGCTTCAAGGAGCCCAAGTGGGAGTCGTGCGGCGCCTGCTACCTGGAGCTGCTGCGCTACCGCCTCAGCCGCCGCCTCCTGGAGCAGGCGCACCGGCCCTGGCTGTGGGACGGCTGGGAGCAGGACAGCGTCGGCGGCAGCGGCAGCAGCACCGCCGGGTCCCCGTCGCCGCCGGGAGCGGGCAGCCCTCCGCCCGCGCAGGAGGAGGAAGCGGCGGAGGCGGGACGGGCCGGCCCCGGTAGGAGCGGGGAGGTGGCGGGGGTGGCTGCGTGCCGCCCTGCGAAGGCGCAGCCGGGTCGGGTGCGTGCCGTGGCTGGCGGGGGAGGCCCGGCGTGGCGGTGCCGCAGTGTGGGCGAGCAGCCTGGGGCTTCGCGTGCGGCGAGTAGGGCGAGAGCGTTGCGCGTCCTGCTGTGTGTGCTGTAGAGAGAGCTGGGCCGCGAGTTGCTCAGGGAGAAGCCTGTCCGTTAGCTGCGGCTGCGGGACCTCAGGGACCCGCAGCGCTGAGAAGCTGGGCGTCCCTTTAAAGAACCGCGTTGTGGTAACTCATCCTGACTCACAGCCGCTTATGTAAACGGTTGCCATGGGAGCAGAGCATCCCTGCAATTATATAAGCAGGTTCTCTGGTGAAAGCGGCAGCACCGAGCTAGGCTGTGTGCCAGTGATTGGAACATAATGTTACTGCTTCTCTGGACCTGTGTGTGACATTCTTTTGTCTTGGCTGAACACTGGGTCCCTGCTGGTACTTGAGCTCTGTGGTCTTGGTTTTTGCAGCCAGTCAGTAGCCCTGAGCGAATGCAGAGCTGTAGTCCTCTCAGCAGTGTGGGCCTGTGTGCCACCCGGCTGTCATATGCCTGCTAAAATGCTGTTGAGCTGAAACACAGCTCCTCAGCATTAGCAGAAAATGCCAAGACAACAGGAGTGGTTAGGGATGCTCTTAAGAACAAGGTCCCTTTGAGCCGAAGGAGCTGGAGGTACGCACAGATGCTGGCTGCTGGGATAAAACACTCCATCCCTCCAAAGCCATGCAGTGATGGCAGCAGCTCACTGGGATGAGACCAGGCTGGAGTTCCTTGGTAGCTTGATTCCATTTAGGTCTGCTTTAGCAGCAAGGTAAGAACTTGTTAGTTGCAGGTGTGCTCATATAGGCATATTCTGTAGCCATTAATGGTGTGTGTGATTGTCTGATTCTGGCGCGTGCAGTTGTCTCTTCACCTTAGCTTATCCTAGCTAGCAGTACTGACCTGAGCAACTCAGAGGCTTTAGGTGGCAGAAGTAAGGTTTGTGGCTGCTGTAAGAGAGTACCTGATCCTCTCTGGGGTTCTTCCCATTTACCATGGGAGAGAAAAACCTGTATCTGATCTTCATGTCTTTGCAGAGCGACTTTCTGCAGGCATTTTAAAAGCTTTAGCAGAAGGTCTAAAAGCAATTCAGCTTTGGCAGCTGGATTAAGTGGAAATTTATTGTATATTCATGTACAGCTTACTGTACAATCAGAAAGCAAGCGACTCGATATTAAGCAATTATGAAGGTGCTATTTTCTTTTGTTAACTTCCTAATTAAAAAGCACAGAGGATGTAACATACAAACCACCACCCCATGAATCTTTCATTATTCAACTGCATTTTTTCTGGAAGGACTTAATTACACTGAAATGCTGTGGGAGCAGTGAGTGTGCTAATGTCAGCGATGTTTTTTGTCTTCTGAATCTGACATCCACCCACATGCTGCAGCATCCTGGTTGGGTTGTTACCTGGCTACTGCTGCTTCTCTCTCTTTTGGAGGGAACCAGATTTCTGCTAAGTTTGTGGCTGAGTATGCTTGGCCAGCAGTAATGTTGCAGTGTTTTTCTTCTGAAGAAACAATTACGTGTTTTTTACTTAGTTCTGATCTCTGAAGGAGCACTGACAGCAGGTTTTGAAAGCTTCTGTTATGCATATACAAAGCTGGCTTTATTATTTTGCAGCTTAACTTCAAGGCTTAGTGGTGTTGCTCTAGATTACTACCAGTGTGAACCCCTGAGGCAGCAAATAGGATGATTGCATTTCCTTGCTCTATCTAATGTTTAAGCTGTATCTGAAAAATATTAAGGTGCACTGAATGGCAACTTTGGAATTTAATTTCCTTCTTGCTCTTTACACTGTTGGGGGGGACTGCTCTGTAGAATGTATTTGGGCCTGGATGTGATCCAATAAAATCCTGACCGAAATCAACTGGTCTAGTTGACACATACTCAAAGCTGTCAACCCCATGGTCTGGTAAGTGAATGACAGGAGCTCTTGGCAGCAGTACTGCAAGCAAACCTGTTTCTTGTGAAATGGTACTGTTGCACACGCATCCAGGATTAGGCCATCTTTCTAGCCTTATTATGACTTTTTTGCCTTCATAGCACTTTTATACGGAAGTTTTAAATGACAGCAGTGACAACTTTGTGTCAAAACAGTTGCCACGCAATAGACTGGATTAGTACATCTGGGTAGAAGACCCAGTTTCAAACTTGCTCCCTGATCTGTCATGATGCTGTAGGAATGTTTGCTGACCCAGCTGCCCAGAGAGGAGTGGCTGATGGTGGAGAAAAGGACTAACAGTGTCAGTTTGGGAATTTACAGTGATCCAAAGATATTTCAGTGTCTTTTGGGTTGAAACAAGCTTTGCTGTCAAGTCAAGCTAGACACAATTTTCTTCAGCGGGTGAATCTAGTCAACTCAACTGCTGTGTTGCTGGTCACTCAAATATTGTGCCAGTGCCTCATGTGAGACTGATCTTGAAGCAATGCTGCTGCAGCCTGTTTCAGCTGTAGTAAATAGTAACTATTTTCTGCCCAGATGTAGTCAGTTAATGCCCCTCCTCAGGTCTTGAAGACCTGCGCGGTTGGGAGAAGCTTGTGCTTAAGCTATCATGGTGCGTAGGAGATTGCTTGTATGGTACCTGTTCTGGGAGCTGGTGTGTTTGAACAGGGTAGCTCTCAAGATGACTGGGAGCAGTCAAGATGAGCTAGTGTTTCCTGCTTTATTACAAAATACTTGTGAACCTGAGGTAGTAAGGGGCATGCACCTCTATGTAAAGATAGCAGTGCTGACCTCTCAGACTTGTAGGTCTGCCCAGAAGGTTGTTGGTATCAGCAGAGCCTTTGACATGGGGGTCTCATCAGCCTGGTAGAGCATGCACAGCTTTGGAAGGGGGAAAAGCACCATCAACCCCTCTTCAAGCCACTGGAGGGGAGCTGTTATATAAGTTGGGTGATGCAGGAGGACTCAAGTGACCTCTTCTGAGCAGGAGCTTTCTACTGCCATGTTGGGTGGGCCTGGCAGCCTGATTCTGCTGCTAAGCACTTAATCCCCTCCTGTCCAGTGTGCTCTGTTTAGCATCCATGATGCGGTTTTTAAACATTCCTAGGTTTTTCCCTATGCTGGCTAATCCCTGTAATGCCCCAGCCAGTCAGTTGAGTTTCCTGTTCTATTCGCAGCATGCATTTAGCAGTGCCTGCCTGAGCTGGCACACTGTGGGGGAAGGAGATAGTAGGTGTTGCTGATAGTTGGGCTTCCCGAGTAGCTGGGTTTGGTTCCTTCCTTGCTATCAACTGCTGCTTTTCTCCTTGCTGCAAGGAGTGCCTAGCAAAATAGCTTGGATATAAAATGTAATTGGCTGTTCAAAGCATCCACCTTGTACCTTCTGAGTTTTATATATGTGAATTGTGGGAGTGAGCTCATTAAAATACCTGCTGTAATAGCAGGTGCGCATAAGGTGCCAAAGTATACTCTGGTATACAGCATTTATTGCAGGACTGTGCAAGATTCTGCATGCCACTTAGTCATATGCTTTTTATAGCTATTTTGGGACAAGCTGGCTTCATCATTTCTGCACCAGCTGGGACTGTATCTGAGTGAGCTGCATCCAGGCTTATCTGTCGCCTTGAAGAAATAACTTAAAGCTATACTACCAGTGCAATTTTGGAGACTCCCCACTTTTCTTTAATTTGAAGGCTCTAAATGCCTTCTCTGTTCTGTGAACAACTCCAGCACTGCTCTGTTCTGCTGTAGAGATGAAAGGTGCAGTTTTTCCTTGAAGGCAAGATTTGACATACCAAAATAAAAGCACTCTTATCAGATTCAACAGCAATATGCCCCCTTTCAGTTTCTTACTTTCTGAAATATCACTGCAATGCTCAAAGCAGTGCCTCCTTCTGATATGGTCTGATATGCAGAAGGAGGACCTAGCCAGTCCCCTCTTAGGAGTGGCAGTGTAGAGAAACTTGTGGGTAATACGGTTTTGCAAGGTAATACTTCTGTGCTGCAAGGATCAAAAGCACTTCTGGATTGGTAATCAGTGTGCTAGGTAGGTTATGTCTGTTCTGGCAAAGCTGGGTGGATGCTATAATGAATCTAAAGTGGTGTCAGATTGCTCATGTACGAAGGTGATTTGCTAAATCAAGCAGTTAGCATGAATGATCCTTGTTGTGTCATAGGGATGGGCAAGTCCTTTTGCTTTTAATGACAGTACTTAAGTAAAACTTGTTACTGTTGTTTGTGGTCAACACTGCAATATGTAAGCTAGCCTTAAACTAGATTATTTCATTCAACAACAGTGGAAGAATCTTTCTATAACCAGTAGCATCATACTCCCCTTTCCTCTGCATGCAGACAATCAATGTCTGTATGAACAATCAGGGAGTCTGAAAAGGAATCGCTCTCTTCTTTCAGTCAAAGCTTATAGTATGAGGGATATATTCTCTGGCTGGCAGCATCTACCTGCTACTCAGCAGTCCATCTGCTTGTTGTCTGAAAGATGGAAGGATGAAACAGTAAAGACAGGAGGGCACTGGAAACAATCTTACTGCATGTACAGCGCTGCTTGGAGCTATTAGGCAGCTAGTGAAAGGTGTGTTTAAATGTGGCAGCTAATGTACAGAGGGACAGGCTTGAAAATACTCATCACTAAAGAGTGACAGCATTTAAGCAAGGCATGCCTCTAATGCTAAGGAATTAGTGACCTCTTTCTTAAAAAGCACAGGTTTCTTGATGCATTGAGGGAGGCAGTGCAGATCAAACAATATCGTGTCATTGAAACATAAAGCAGAACTTTTTTTTTTTTTTCAGAAAAAGAAAGACAAGATCAAGAAAAGCATCAGAAAGAAGAGCAAGAAAAGACTGTAGAACATACTTCCACAAAGGAAGCAGACAAAACTTCCACAAAGGACGCAGATAAAACCAGCCGTACAGGACGACGTCCAAGCCAAAGTGCCTTGTCCAGTCGTAATGATCGAAGATCAACCAGAAGTCCTCAAAAGACAGACGGACCAAAGGAGAATAAACATCCATTTGCTCTCTATGGGTGGGGGGAAAGACAGACAGATACTGGAAGCCAGAAAACTCACAATGTCTGTGCTTCTGCTTCAGTGAATGAAGTAAGTAAAAGCTTCTGTTTAAGTGAGAGAACCGACTTAGTGCCTGGAAAAGACATTGCTAATATTTAGGTACAACTTTTCAGAGGTGCTTTCATTTGTGATCACATGGGGAACTGTAAAGACTTCAACAGCCTCTGTGTTTTGCTGTAGGACAGTATCTTACAAATACTAGCTTGCAGTTGTGCCAGAATGAAGTTAGGGGTTTATTCCATTCAGTTCCTTTGAACGGGTGTCATTCTTACAGGTGATTCAGAGTACATGAATTCCTTCAGACAGCCCTTCTAGGCTGTGGTGTTTCTGCGTGTGAAAAGGCCTTTGAAGTATCAAAACCCTTGTCTGGATGCCTAGTTCTGGGTGCTGCAGAATCTTCCTATGTGTTGCTGAAGTGTTTCCCAGAGACAGGCAGTTTTCAACCATATCCAGTTGGGTCTGTAACAGAGCACTGTCTTGGAAATACCAGCAAATGAGTTGTTTTGAGGAGACAGAAGTGGCTTTTCTTTCTCCTCATTAAAATGAAATAGTAGTTGCCGCAGTAAAGGCTTACAGGTACGAGAATACAGTGGAGGACTGAATGCACAGAACCAGATTCTAGGGTGCATAGAACCCTTCTACCTCTAGGAAATCGATGTTTCATCAGGCAGGAACATATCTGCCCACAGCTGTGATAAACAGTGTCATAAGAAAAGGATAGCTATGGGATGAGAAGTGATTGATGCCACTTCTAGGTTGAGTACTGCCTGCATGCATTCATACTGGTCACAGCAGGTGTCAGCATTTTCTAGTAGAATTTGCTTCAGGGGTAGAGCTGTGACCTGTGGTCCTTGCTAATGCAGCTGTCATTGAAGTTAACATCTTCGTATGGCAGTCAAGAACTTGGGTTAGATAGGGAGGGAGAAGCAGAGGAAAGCAGAGAAGTATACTTCAGCTGTTGATGGGTCTGACAGTACAGTACTGTCATTAGGTTTATTGCTGTAACTTTTCATTTAATACTAAAGATGCTTGGCATGTCCAACTCGAGTAACTTTTAACTGTTTATTTGTCTTGAACTCTCCACATCTTACTAATACTTAAAAAATCTGATTAATGCTTGGCTATCTTGTTTCTGGCTATTTCAGTGCTACCAGCAAAACTGGCTGTTCAAAATATATTTCTGCAAAACATATTTCTGAACAAGAGAAAAGCAGCAGGCAGTTAGCACCAAGCATCCCAAAACAAGCAGGTAGATAAACATGAGTATAGCACTGGGCTGTGAATCAGCAACTTCTCACAGCAGTCTTCAGGAATAGGAGCCCCAGTACTTTGCTGCTAAGTTGTCCAGCAGGCTGTTTCAGCATGTTGCCAGTGGTGAGCTTTGGCAGCAGAATAGGCTGTCAGTGTCTGATGGACTTCAGGGTTGATGTAAATATTAGCACAACAGCACATGTAAAATTCATGTGGCCATGGACAACAAAAGAATTAAGTCAGGAAACAACATTTTACAGCCTAACAAGGAATGATAAGCTTGGAGTGCTAAAACAGATCTTTTCAGTTCTAGAACTCTCCTGGTAAGATGCACTGATCCACTCCTTCCAGCATCTTGTCTTTATCATACTACTAATGCAGAATCTGAATCTATGACCCAAGACATCTGAAGCCTGACTTTCAATAGGCTGTTCTGGAAGGGATTTGAAATGTCTTTTCTTCTTTCTGCATGGCTCTCCTCTTAAGGAAATGAGAATGGGTCCTGTAGCTTTTGAAACAAGCTGCTCATCCTGGTAATGGGTGCTGTTACTGGATCAATAAGCTTAGGTCAGTGGTGGTAATAGCTGATGCTTTGCTGATGCCTAATATATGTTGATGCCTAACTTGAGCATCAACTGAAGCTTTGAAAGACTGTTACTATTACTTGTACTAGAAGGAAAGTTATAGAACTCTAAAGATCAGGTCTCTGGACTGTAGTGAATGGAATGACTCCTGAAACACTTCCAATTATCTAAGACATGCAGGCAGCACTCTGCCACTAGTGATGCTTCTGTTAAGAGGGTCTACTTACTGCCTGGTTAGGTCACTTTTCCTGAATGTTTCCAAGTTGTTACTCTTATCTGACATGGGAGATTTTAAAATCTTGTGATGGAAATCAGCAAGCGTAGAACCTGGCTCTTGAGACCATAGTTAGGGAAATTATATGATGCCTTAATACAAAAGCATGCATTTCTGCGGCATGCTCTGAAGATCAAGAAGCTTGTAAGTGCTTTATAAGGAGTCTATAACAACTGATCATAGTACTGATTAGATTTTTAAGGGTTGCTTGGGTGTACTGAAGGATAATTAAGAATTCTAAGTAGTAGAAAGATGAGAAAGGAGGTTTATTGAATGTCAGAGTAAGATTAAGACAAACATTTTGAATGTTTAGATACTTAGCAGTACAGAATGGGAAAAATGCAGAATAGAATTTGAGGCATTTCTTCAATGGAAATGCATATAACTTTTGGACAGTGGTGCAAATTCCAGAGGTAGGTGTTTTGCTAGCAAACTCTTTCTTCACAATGGGGGTAGGGATGAAGCAGAAGTGACCCTCGACTTTGCTGTGGGGTTCCTAGTCCATTTTCCTGCTTGTAATGCTAACTCTGATCTTCTAGATTCATGAATCTGCTCTACGAGCAAAGAACAGGAGACAAGTGGAGAAAAGGAAGCTTTCACAGAGGCGAGTACGATCAGCAGAAGCAGAGAAAGCTTGGCGAATAAAGCCTTCCCCACCAGATAACCCCTGGATGACAGAGTATATGAGATGCTACTCGGCAAGAGCTCGGTGAATTTGGATTCAACTTAGGCATCTTCACAAGAAGTTATGTATATCAGGACACTGGTGCAAGGAACCAAACTACTTATGCAAGGTTTTTATAGGGAGTTTCCAGCCGTTTAAAATATTTGTTAAAGTATTTTTATCTCGGCTACCTACCTCACAGTGGGGTGTTCTAGTTGGAGCCATAACATTTGAAGAGGCTTTTAAATATAGCTACCCAAATTTTTAAACAATTCCCCTTTTGGGAATCTTTATGATTCAATTTTCAATTGACTTGTTTTGAGGGGGGAGGGGGGCTTTGCATACTGGCAATTGAAACAAACTCTTATTTTATTGATCTTGGTTATGAATAATCTGTTGCCCCTTACTTTAAAAGATTAAGTCCTCCAGACCACAAGGAGGTGGTGTTGGGGTGGGAGGGTGGGGAGGGAGGGGGAACTCGAAAGGTGTGATGGAGGTGCCTTTGCATTTATGTTACTATTAAATCAATACTTCTACCAAAATAAATATATTAAAATGGGCAACAGGAAAGCAAGTGGGTGTGGTAAGCAGCACTATTGGGTGTGGATGCTTCAGACAGACAAATGCCAAGTACTGTCTGTATACAGAAGCTTTCAAAAAAAAATTAGTAAATCTGCTGATTCTTAATTTTCATTGCTGCTTCCAATGTTATCTGTAATAAAATACTTCCAGAACAAGAAACAGCTGCAGAGTTATTTTGCTGTTGCTGTGCCTGTTGCACTGAATAACTTATAAAGACAATCACCACCTGATAGCTGCTGCTCAAAAAGCAGCTGCTTGTTCTATGAGTATCAACTTGGCACCACTGTACTGAGCTTGTGGTCACACTTATTCTGTGCTTAATCATGTAAATGCTGGTTTATCAGAGCAGGCTGGCTTCTGTTTAGTGAAGTCTATTTTTTATTACTTATGATTATCTATCTATGTTCAGTGGGTTAGACTGCAATATGTATTCCATTTGGTGGTACTGTATGAGTGTACTATTAGAGGTTTTTAACTTAAACATTTTTTATAAAATTTAGATGAAGTAGAGGAGCCTTAGCCTTCTGCCTCAAGGTTGGTGCATAACTCCTTAATAAGGGGGGTGAGAGCTAGGGGAGGAAGGAGAGGATATCCTTCAGTAGAGTACATAATGGAGTTTGGATGCTTTCACTTTATAGGTCTTTCTTTTACATACACTGTCTGTCAAACCCACAGTGTGGTGTTGTGTTCTTTTTTAAACTCAAGCTGCTGTGAATGATTGATTTGTCTGAAAATTAAGCTTTAGGCAGGTGACTATGGTTATGAGCTTCAAAGTTTTGTTCAGATGTGCAGTGTGTTAGTTATATATGTTGTTTACCTTACTTTAACAGTTTTGAAGCTTGCTTTTTACAGACTAGACAATTTCTCACAGGAAGCGCACTTACACTGCTGCAGCAGAAGCCTGTGCTGGTCTGTGCTTCACTACACAATCTCACTGAGTAAGCAGGACTAGAACTGCTGCTGCAACAGAGACAGCTAAAATGCTTAGTGAAGTCTGATTGTAGATCTTCAAGTAATTGTGGGAAGACCAAGTATTGTTGCCTTCTAATCTTATTATATCAGTAAGATTGAAATTAAGATTAATGAAACCTTTACTAAGAAGTTTTAGAGTCTGTGAAATTATAACCTGATTTTCAAGCATATAACTTACTTTAAAAATCCAAACAGCTCACATTCAAGATTGCCTACCAGAGATCTTGCACTTTTAAATCTCAGAAAGTATGGTTGTCTTATCCATGAAGAATGACTATTAGAATTTCTCAGCAAACCACAGTTTAGAACTTCCTAAAATTTCAAAACAGCATCCCAAACCGAGGTGAAATTATCCAACAGGATGTTTTTATTCCACAGAAGATTTTATTTCTTTGTATACCATTTTTCCTATTTAAACATACTTACAGCAGCTATTTAAGCAGCTTTGATGCTGTTTCAGTTCAGAGATCCACCCTAGCTATGAACAACAGAATCAAAGCACTCAGAAGTACCTAACAGCCTTGTTGTGCAGAACACCACATACATACACACCTCTGTCTTTGTGGACTTCATGTAACTGGCAGATGAACTATGTGCCCTCAGTACACTTTGTTGCATTAAGCAGGTTCCTTGGTGGAACTTGTCTTGCCATGCTTTCCATGCCAGTTTCTAGAGTTCCCAATGAGAATGGGGGGAGCCAAGAATCCTGCCTTAAGTACTCATTCTCGGATAAGCTGCATTTCCTACTAGATTTTGGTTCCAAGGTTTTAACTAACTGTTTTCTGCCTTGGATACTGGGTACCAAGCCTGAGAAGTCTCCAACTTGGTCATGGTCTGTAGAACATTAGAAATATTCAACAGCATCTATACAGCTATGTACTGAGGAGATGCTCTTGTTTTTATCCTTGCTTAGACAAGAGCTGTTCCCAGCAAAAAAAAAAAAAAATTGTTAGACAGTAGTGGCACTAATTGGGTTATGTGAGTCACTTACGTTTTTCAAATGGTCTATAGCTGAAAATAATCTTGATTGTAATGTTGGTACTATCTTAATTGAGAAACATAATGCCTGAAGTGAGGGGCAAATTATTCTGCTGATTAGGTAGCTTTCTTACATTTGGGTATTTGACTCTTAGACTGTGTGAAATAGTATAGTCCTGATCACTCAAAGTTGTGTATGCAGAGTATTTGATGTGCCACGCCAAAGTCTGGAAAGCCATTTTTGTGTTTTGACATGAAATTTGATGTTGTTTTCTAAAACACAGAAGCTTTAGCTGCATTTCATGGATTGATAGAATAGGCTGTTTTGCATTAAATTTAACTTGCTCAAAAGTGGAAAACTTAGTGAATGTTTACAATATCAATTAAGAACGTTCTGACTTGTCTTGAAATAGATTGTTGAATTCAGTCAAGTGATGAAACTTCTCACACACCTGTTTTAAAGTAAAACTTTGTAAGAATGCAGTTAATACTCAGTTGTCCAGTCTTCATGAAAGTTTACTCCCTTCAGTTTCTGGAAACACTTTTAGCTAAGTGAAATGAGACCTGCACAATGTGTAATGCTGCAATTTAACTGTAGTGTTGTATAGACTAGTGTTTACAATGTGAAATGTTGCAATGAAAACTGCATATGAGTGTCCCTGTGAAGTACAGTAGCATGCCTGTTCAGCCACTGCTGTCACATCTTTGCAGCTATGAACTCCAGATTTCTTTACTGGAAGTCTGAAATAGTCAGGGTGATATTTAATTTAGAGCTAAACTTAACTGTTAGGATCAGACCTGAATTTTTAGTAAAGAATTCTATGAAGATAGCCAATGCATATTAACCAAGTTTTACCATGTAGGGAAACACACCTGCCCTTCTAATTTTTTAACATGAAACTGAATTATAAAGGCCTCTGACCTTTTTTTATAACCATGAGGACCAAAAGCTAGCAATCTGAGGAGCTGTCCAGTAAACCTGCATGTGCCAACTTACTTTCCAGCTCAGTTTCTGCACTCAGCAGCAAAGCCATATGTAGAGCCTGACTTAACACCTTGACAATAGCACCTATAAAAGTAGGGATAGGAGAGAATGGGAAGCTGCCTCAGCTCCTGTTAGCACTGGATTCACTTTAAAGAATTATAGGGGAAATAGCATCTAAGCTTGAAGCAATATGTGTTTTTTAAGGTTTTTAATAGTACTTGTTTTTAATGCTTCTGTATTGTCTACATTTAATAGCGAGGTGTCAATTTGTATATGCAAATAAAATGAGTGACAGTGTCTTGGCTGTTTATACTGTTATTTTTTGGCTCTCAGCTTTTCTTTTACAGGTTTCTTACAGACTGTGCACAAACCATGGTTTCTGTTTCTCCATGTCCTTTTCTGTTACAAAGAATAAAGGAGAAAAGTAACTAATGCAACCCTTTACCCAACACCATTCTTTACAAGTACTTCAATCTGAAAGCTGAATTTGTATTCTGCCTGTAGTACTCTCTCATTCTTAATACCTTTTCCTTACAGAGAGGTCAACTGTGCTTTCAACCCAAGTTGCCTGTTAGTCTGGAAAAGTTCTAAGAGCAAATACAGGATTCAAGTTGTATAAACATCTTCTCAGAGCTTTTAAAAAAAGCATTTCTCACTTCTGAAATAAGGTATTCCAGGAGCTCTAGACACACCACTGCTGAAGTGATCTGAAGGAAGCTAAGTACCAGGTAACTGCATGTAGCTTCATAGCCCTGACCTCCTTCAGGATGTGCTATACTGAAGGAGATTCCCTACTGAAAACACATCTTGCAGTTGCTTCCTCTCTAACATGGGGTAGAAGCAGCAGGGTACCAGGGTGGGAGGCCTGAGGGAATCTGCTGCTAGCAGGGACAGTGACTTCCTTGCTCTCTGTTGCTGTGAAATGCAGTGCAGCAGTGCTCCAGTCTCCTACCTGCTGAAATTTTCCCAGACAAGCACCAACTCCACTATAAATTCAGCTGAAATATTCCCTTCCTGACTCTCTAACAGTCTGTCTTGGGGACTTCATTTAGCACATAACTGTAGTACAAATAAATAGAATATATACTGTACCACCCCTAGAAAAACAAGAAAGATTCTTTATTTCTTGTTAGATACAAGCATGAAATGTAATATAGGCCAGTAGCCTCACTGAAAGGCAAAACAGATTTTAATAAGACATTTAGATCTTCTGAAGGACTGGAAGAGTTGAAGCTCTACATTCAGTAAATCCTGGGATGTAGCTGCCTGGGATTAGTTCACAAAATTAAGCCATTTTGCTTTGGTAAATTATTTTTACATTAAAAATTATATGCAGTTTAACATATTTATCACTTCATATTTTTCATGAGCTAGGTTTATTAAAGCTTGAAATTGGTTCCACAGCTATTATGAGCATAATGTTTATTTTTAGAAATAAATACTCAGAGGAAAACTAGTAAACACTGTTGCTTATAGTATTGCTTCCTAGAGTATTGCCCTCTGGAGTTGCCATTTTAGAAGATTTCTTTTTAAAATGTCAGTGAGATGCAGCATGGGGGTGGTGCAAGACCACAAAATATTAACCTGGTTAAGTTGCACTAAGCTAGTAGGAACATATATTTAAAGAAATAGTAAAAACATGTCAACTCTGATTATAAAGTATTTTTTTCTTCCTCCTGGGAAAGAGACAGCATAAGACAGGTTGTTACCAAACAATGAAACTGCTTACTGCTGCTTAACCAGAGAACTCATGCACATGTGAACCAGTATAAAACAGAGGAAAATTTGTAGAGAAAGAAATAGAAAAATGTACTGTCAGTAAAAACCAACCACATTTCAAAGTCCCTATGTTTCTTTCATTACTGGACTATTCAGAAGCAACAGAACTAAGTAACCACTCCCCTTACTCTTATTATTATGCTAGCAGTTTGAAAAGTAAGTTTTAATCTTGTGCCTACCCCCCCTTCAACCATTTTAAGTGACAGAGGGGGAGACCTTCAGCTTTGCCTGTGTTATGTCACAAGTGGTAAATGCTCAGCTTTCACTTTATCAGTGTACTAAGAAATCTGATTAGAGGAAGGGGAAGTGGATTCCTCTATTATTTTTTCCAACATTTCAGTAATGGTTTGGTGTTTCAGAACTGACACATTCCCCTTCACTCTGCCATCCTCCAGAACTCTGGCAAAAATGCAAAACATCACAGTTGAACAGCAGGCCATTTGGACTGGTAGAGGAGCTAACTGCATCCAAGCTCTACTTCAAGGGACTGCTGTTGGCACCTCCATCTTGTAAATGCAGAATTAAGATGCCTCAAAAAAAAAAAAACCCAAACAAACACTGAATTTTATCAAGAAGAGAATAAGCCTTAGGAATAATTATTATTAGTTATGCAACAAAGCTAAATCCTAAATAATACAGGACACAGCAGAGAGCTGTAACAAGACTTCAGACTCTACAGTCTTTTAAAAACTTACGTGTACTGGAAGAGTCTAGAGTTAAATTATTTTGTATTTTTATTTCAGAGATGGCCAAGGTGTATAGTTTTAAGATAAACATCCATTTGAAACAAAAGTGTCAGAACAATTATTTTTTCCCACTCAGTTCTAATTCTATGAAAGATGGAATATCACCTTCTCTGTAGCATCCTTGGTTTGCTTGTGTGCTTTAACTGCCCTCTGAATCACAGCAGCAGTTCAGTTTTCTGATTTAGTTTTTATGTGCCTGACAAGTGTCCCTTAAAAAAATACTCATATATAGAAAATAAAGCATGTTTTTCCTTGGAATTTTCATACTGTGTTCTGGTGAGATAAACTATTTTCTGTGTTCACTTGCATTTCCAAAAGACTTCCAATTTTTAATTACATAAGGAACTAAGTAAAAACATTACTAGCAGTTTATATCCACACAACATCATTTCCCTTGTGACAACAATTTGAGTTCAGATACCTCCAGAAACACTTTCCACAGCTCCTTATCTGACAACATGAAAGCCGCATCTCTTATCTGATCAATTGTCATGACACTGTAAAAATGACACATACTACTCATGGTTCTGTCCTCATGCTTAAGCCCTCTGCCAGTCTATTCTGTCCCCAGCTGAGCACTGGCAACAGAATTCTTAACCCCTCACCGTTTACCTCCTTCTTGCCATAGAAGAACCAGAAGGGAAGTATGAATTGCTTGAATGAGAAATGAAGTCAGCACGAAGGCTGATGTTTCCCCTGATGAGTTTCACAGGAAGAATGAACTACATCAGCAGCATTTCTTTCTTTCTTCTCTCATATGAGTCTCCTGGAAGCAATGTTGACAGCGTTACGTACCATATTTTCCCCAGAAGTTCAAAAGGTAGGGCTCCAGCAAGACAGACTCTTCAGCTCCTGATTTTGAAGTCTAACTTCACCATCCAAGCTCTTAATTGTATTTTATGTTTAAGATACCAGTATTCTAAATCATACATTCAGGATACTTTAGAAGAACCAACCTGGGTTCAGTTTGTACCTCACAAGGTATGCTTAGCAGAAATCCTTTTTTCTACAGGTGATTGCTTACTTAGCAATCAGAGGTTAATAAAACTCCTACTGTGACAGGTGTCCAGAATCCCATGCCCAACACTAGAATTACAAAACACACAGAAGATGCACAACTCTGTTCACATATACATACTATCTTCATGACACCAGTGCTATACAAAACATCAGAACCAAGAAAACAAAAATTCCCAAATCCACATCAGTTAACAGCCATTTGAGAGAGTTAAAGCATGTTTTCCTGAACTTTTACAGTTTGATAAAAGAGCTTCAAAAGATGATATACAAGAATTGTGATAAAACAGGTAAACTTCAATAAAAATGACTACTCCAACTTGATGTATTACCCAAACCAAGCAACCAAAACTAACCTCATATTGAAAACCAGTCATAGAAACACCTGGTCAGAATGTTGCAAAAGAAATTGGGAGGGGGAAAAAACAGCCATCCCTCACTGAGGCTGCCAGTGGTTTTTTATAATTCATGGCATAAATATAAACTATTATGCAACAAACACGACAAAGCCTACTTCGGTTAACTTTTAGTTTCTATAATAAAAAAATAAAATATTAAACTGTTGTAGTGCAATGTTCTATCATATATATATATATATATCATGCTTTGTAAATTTACTGTTACATTATTTACAGTATATAGTAACGCTTTCAACTAAAGGTGAAATAAAAATAGGTAATGGAAAACGTTTACATACAGGTATCACTTTAACACTTCCCACTGAGTTAGCAGGTTCACTTTGCAGGCTTGTGCCACATGAACATTCCTGCTCCATACCACACGATGCACCTCTGTCAGCAGTGGTCTGCTCTGGCTGTACACAGCAGAAAGATGGTTTTCAAAACTGCACAGCTTTCAAGCTTTATTTTTTCAAACACCATTTGCATGGACAGCTGAAAAATACAGAAGAACTCCATTGTTTATTTACATCTGATCAATCTTGGAAACTGCTGAAATAAAAATCAATAGACAGCTGTAGAGACATAATTGGACTACGTGAATGTCCTTTTATAGCAGTTTCTCAGTTGAAGAAAGCTGCTGTAAGGGGAAAAAAAGGGAGGAAAGCAGTTCAGTGATTCTTATGCAGTATTTAAAAATTCTGGAGATTTAATTGGGAACTAAGCTCTTGGAACAGAGAACAAAATATGAGAACATATAATTTAATGCTGCTTTATTTAACATTCTGTAAAGCTTCTGCTGGCAGCTTGAATAATGCTGGTGGACACTGTCCAAACTGATAAAAATGAAACAGGAAAAAAATATGTAGTAACTATACTTCCAGTAATAGTTTTATTTGATATTGCAGCCCTCAAGTTAGAAAAGTAAGACTGAATGACGTTAAAATAACTTAATTACATAGCAATTTCTCAATTACCTTCCTTAGTGACTGAGGGGGCAGGGCTGTCCTAACAGCCCTTAATAATATCCCTCAATACTGAAACATACCTAAGAACAACTCTTTATAAGAAAGGCTAACCATCAAGCTCTTCTTGGGATCAGGCTTTGCAACTTTCAGCCCTCTTCCCCTATTATGCTGAAGTGAGGAATGGATTATTCCTTTCCTCTGTGCAGCATCTTTAGGACACTACACCTACTCCATAGGCTGCAGTAGCCCAAGAAGAGATGCTGTAGATAACAACACTGCCCAAGCAGCAAATACTGCTATTCTCCAGTTGATATTTCTGCTTGAGGTAGACAGGAATCAGAATCACTTTGGGCCGGTTATAGGCCCAGATGTCAGTGGAAGTCTGAAATCCAGTATTATCTTTCATTTTCCAGTCTCAACATTTAAACACTGTATTTTCAAAAAAAAAAGCTGTATAAGAGTTTTGGACAAGATAGTGCCCCATACATTTTATAAGTTTTTGTTTCTGGTAGCATTTGTTCAGTATACTATGGAAATGATCCACTTTTTTCCTATAGTGCATTAGGTTACTATTTGAACTATAATACATTTCAGATACATAGAATTCCAAAGTGTTATCCACAGTATTACTCAGTAAAAATTCATCAATACTTCAGCAGGAGCACTGTTTGTGCTTTGGTGGACAGACACCAGAAGTACAAAAACAAACCAAAGAAATTAATTCTACTGTGCATTATTTCACTAGATTCCAAGGTGCTTTGCAGGCTGTGAAAAGGCCAAGCACATGATACAGCACATTCTCAAATATGGTAACTTATGAAACACCCCAAGATTTCTGCAATCTTACCTTCTGTATCTAAAGTGAGTATTTTGGATTTTGTGTTTTGCTTCTTTAACACCCACATTCCTGAGCACTTTGTGCTTGTGCTCTTCGTGGTGATCTCAGCTGTCTCAAGGCAGCATCTCCATACTGAATACCTGAGCCCATTCTTTCTGGATCTAATTCTCCTGAAAAGAAACAAAATGTCACAGGAGATAGATCACTTACAAATAATGCATTCCAATTTAAACGACAGTATCAGAAACATAGGTAATGACACTCTGCTCTGGTTATGACGAGATCTATTGCAATTCTGTTTATTTTTAGGCAACTCCAAAACTCTACCATTTTATCCTGTAATTTCAGCTGTGTGTCCTTAATGATAATGACAAAGCAGCTCACTGTTGAACGAGGCTGCAACAGTAAGTGTTTTTCCACTAACTACTTCTTAAAAAGGAAATGCCTAAAACGTGTTCTGCAAATACTGTTTCATGTTAAGAGACACACACTTTCAGATTCTACTATGTAAGGAAAGAAGAACTGTAAATACACCAAGCCAAACAAAAATGGATCAGAGTCCACAAAACACTGCCCAAGAGGAAATGGCTTCAGCCTTCCCTGCTTCTGCTATCCACTGCTGTAACAGGTTTACTCCACACTCCGTGCCTTCAGAAATTTCCTTACACATCCACAGAGAACTGGCCAAAATTAGAAACAACTAGTTAAAATAAAAAATACCCCTGAATAATTCAGATCAGTTCTTCAGGTTCACTGCATATATCTACTCCCTCTGAGAGTTAGGTAGGAAATGACACCACAGTGAGCGTGACACCAGCTTGAGGGTAGGGCTACTATTCAGAAAATACCATGGGCAAGCTAGAGGAGCAGGACAGCAAGAATCTTGTGAAATTCAACAACTACACACACAGAGCCTTTCATCCGTGACAGAACAAGACCAAGCACAGGTAAAGGCTGGGGACCAACTACTGAGGTAGCAACTCTGCAAAAAAAGAACTGGGGATCTTAACAGACCATGAGACATAGCATGCACTTGTGACAAAGAGTAAATAACGCACAGGGCTGTTACAGCATGACTGTGACCAGCAGGCCGATGGAAGTGATTATTTTGCTCTACCTGGCACCTTCAAATCCGCACAGAATCATCCAGAACATCTAAAACCCTGTGTTCAGTTTTGCATTCCCCAGTAACAAAGGATGAACTGGAGAGAGTCCAGGAAAAGACTGCTGTCTGTTGCAGGCTGAAGCTTAGTATGTTCAAAAAGCAGCTAAGGGAGCTGTGTTTGTTTAGCCTGGAAGAGAGAAGGCTAAGAGGGAATCTATATCTATGACTGCATGGTCTTAAGGATGTAAAGACTAGAACCAGACCACACACACAGAAATAAGAAAAGAAGAAGAGTAAGAAGCACAGCCTGCACAAGAGGAATTTCTGAACACGAGGGAAATGAAAGTGTCACTGTACACTTCAGTCAGCATTAAGACACATTGTCCAAAGGGGCTGTGGAACCTCCAGTCTCAGAGCATCTCACAGTGTGCCTCAATTTGCTGTGGGCAATCTGCTTTCACTCTGAAGCTGAATCTAAAACAGGAGGCTGGACCAGAGACCTCCAGTAGTTCTCTCCAGACTCAATTTTTTCATGATTCAGTGCATGACTGCTGATAGAAGGGACAGGACAAGCAGCCTACAGAAAGCAGGACTTATTTCTGTTATATCAGTTACGGGAATACTAACTAGCCAAATGCTGCTTTTTGTTGTTGTCTTTGGTTTTGCTTTTTTTTTTTTTTTTAAATTTGTTGTGGTTTTTAATTGTTTGTTTTGTTTAAAATGAAGGAGGCTGTTTGACATTGATTTTGATGCAGTAATGAGGAAATTCCTATGAAAATATCATACTATTTTCTTTTTTGTTGTTGTTTGGCATTGAAAGTAAGATATCAAACAAATTAAAAATGAGAGAAAAATCAGAATAACGGATTAGCTCTAGTGACACATAACACATTGAAGCCTATTTCTGATAAAAGCTTCCCACTCGCATTAAGAAGTTTCTGGCATATTTCTAGTTCTGCAGAAAGTAAAATGACTTCAACTGAGGCCAGAAAGGTCACATTAGAGAAACATAGTTGCTAGGAAACATCCCTGGTATTTTGTGTTAAGTGTTCAAATTCTCTTGATCATACTGCCTGCAGTCTATGAGAAGCAGAATTAAAAGTTATGCCCTTACACCAAGTTTTTCTTCTGCTTTGCTAAAGTTGTCTAATGTCAGACTTCACAGTTGTATGCACATAATGCACAGAACATGCAACCTACATGCTGAGCTCAATATTAAGGTAAATGCTGTACATCCACAATCCACCTCTCCCCCTTTTTAGGTACACAGATCTTACCTGAATGTTCATTCCTGTTAAAACACACAGCTATAAAACAAATGGGTTATATTACCACAACTAAATAACTTTAGATGTTGATACTTAAACACATACTTTAAGTTTCTAGGAAAAAAAGGTTAAATTAATCATTTCTGTTTACCTGATTCAATTTTATTGAGTATTTTTCTTGCACACTGTACAAAGGCCTCTTCAACATTTTCCCCCGTTAGTGCACTTGTTTCCAAGAACATAAGCTCTGGATTGGACCAGAAAAACAATCTCAAAGCAATGGAATATCTGATACAGCAATTCAAGCATGAAAATCAATAGAAACGATTTTTCTTAGACTTGTTTAGAGCTATCCTCCAATAGCATGGTCCTGAAACAGTTACTTTATGAAAGCAAAACTTCTAGATACACAAGAGTTTCCTCTAAAACTTACAGAAATGTAAAAATTAAGAATCTAAACACAATTACCTGGGCTGCACCTAGTTGTGGTGCAAAAACAGCACATGAAAACAAAGTACTTCATATAGGTTCCTGTTAACAGAAAGCTACATGCAAGAGGAAAGCCAGCAACAACAGTAAAATACATGGTAGAAAAGACCCGATAATCAATTTATAAAATTAAAAAGAGACTTTACTGACAGTAGGACTGCAGCACAAAGATCAGACTGGCTTCAGCTGCTACAGAAACATGTCTCCACAGACTGAAAATTTTGGACACTACAGATCAGTCTTCTGGATCCACACTATATATTGAACTTTGTTTGCCACGAGTCAAATACACTGCTTTCAACTGCAGCCAACCCCATTTGATCTTGTCTACAATCTAGAAAGCCTGCAAGATGCTAAAAACCAGGAAACCTTACTCTGTGTTTTCTCTCCAGCTCCTTGGTTGCAAGGTAACAAGAGAAGTCACATTACATACTCTAAGGAATATGACATCACATAGCAGATATTCTTTAAGTAGCAGCTATGACTGGAAGAATCACCAATAGTGGGACAAACAGTACATGCAGTTCTTACTACAGGCACTGTTCTCATGTCTCCCTCAGAAAAGAGAACAGATACAGCAGACCATCAAAGTATTCCCTCGCAGCAAAAAAAAAAAAAAAAAAAACCAAAAAACTGTTTAAGTACTAAACATCTTTCAACATTACATGAAGATTTTTTTTTACTACTTACCATTTTCTTGTGCAAACCGGGATGCTTCTAGAAAGGTTACTTCACGATCTGCATCAAGATCTTTTTTGTTTCCACACAGTATTATCACAATATTTTGACTTGCTAACATTCTTGCATCCGTCAGCCAATTAGTGAGAGCATTGTAGGTTTCTCGGCTGCAATGAAAAAAATCCATGTTAGAAAACACTCATTTCTAGCAAGCAGATCACTGAACTAAAACTTTTGAAGGCAAATCTACATTATTGCCAAGCCACAAGACTGTACTAGTCAGGCAAGTCACCTACACACCTCAATAACACCAGCAATGAACTGGGGAGAGTACCAAGTTCCTTCAAGAAACAAGAAGTGTAAACTTCTTAAAAAGCAAAAATCAAATCAATCACAACCAAACCCAGACAATTTCTTTTCAGCAGCGTCTCTCTCTGAAGTCAAGAAACACCGCATAGTCTGCTGCTAGATCCTATAGAAAGCAATCTCTCAGCTTACTTCTCATAGTGTTTATGAATGTTCTGCTCCACCACTGCCTTAATTCCTTTCATTAGATAGTCATTCTGATTAATAAATTATCATCTAGACACCAGGACCCATGAACTGAAACACATGAAATCCCAGTTGCAGCTCCAAAGCTCTTTGAAAGCGAGATCTCTTCTGAAGTGTCACTAAGATGTTTTGGAGTGGCAACCCCAGACAAAAGGGAAACGGATGATTAAACACACATATAGTTCATGGTGCATTTGGCTACACGTAGCCTTTGAGAAGTAGTAGCTCACTTCTTATTAATGCAAAAAAGCCCACAGATTGGAAGTCATAAAAATAAACAAGATACTCTGTTAATGTGAAAAGCTAAAATTTGAAGCGCTAATCTAGTTTCAGCATGAAATTTAAGAATAGTGATGAGTTATTAATATGGAATTCAATAATTAAGTTCCAGATGGTATTATAAGAATGAACTATGCTAACAGAGAACTGCTGGCCTGAAGTATCACATTTGTTTTAAGACTGAAAACATCACAGGCATTTATCCTGCTCACATCAGTAGTCATTAAAGTGGTGGGCAAAGCTAAAACCAGCAAGACGACTGACTGACAAACAAGCCCAGCTGACTTTAAGGACAAAACACTGATTTTGAAGAGTGCTCAAGGGAAAACAGTACAACAGTACACTCACAGGAAAAAAAAAGCAATACATACAGCGAGTCATCAACCAACACAAAGCTTATCTGACAAGCATTAGTTTGTCATGGCCATAAAAAAAATGCAGAAGTGTGCAATGGTAAGGTATTGTACTGTCTGCCTACAACATTAAAACAAACAAAAAAACCACAACAAACAAATGAGATTAAAATATTTTTGGGCTATAGTTAAAGAACACATGGGTAAAGCTAGCTTCTCCAGATGACCACCTGTTACACCAGCACACAGTTTCCACCGAAGCGTACTACCTCACAAGTGGCTACATTACAAGTGGCTTAAGTCTGCTCTAAATTTCTGTTGCATACCACCAGTGTCAGATTATTTGTTTTCAAGGACACGAAACTGAGAAACACAGACCAGTCCAGAGGTTTGTTTATCTCTCTGGAAAACCATGAGTGCAAAATATATATCAAAAACACAATAACAAGACACAGTGACCTTTTCTGTTTATTCAGTTCCTAACAGCTGCTGCTTACAGACTTCCTGAGCCACTGGCTGCACATAGCCCAGCATGATTACATCTACTGGTGGGCCAATTCCTACATATCTGTGTGACCCCCTGAGCCTTTGTGCATTTATGGATTTCATAATCATAGAATCACAGAATGGCCAGGGTTGAAAAGGACCACAATGATCACCCAGTTTCAACCCCCCTGCTATATGCAAGGTCACCAACTATTACACCAGGCTGCCCAGAGCCACATCCAGCCTGGCCTTGAATGCCTCCAGGGATGGGGCATCCACAACCTCCCTGGGCAACCTGTGCCAGTGTGTTACCACCTTCTGTGTGAAAAACTTCCTCCTAATATCTAACCTAAACCTCCTGTCTCAGTTTAATATCTCATGTAAGCAAGTTCCAAGGCTTAGATACACACTAAAACAGCAATATTTTTTGTATTTCTTTTCTTTTTGCCTATTCTCTGTCAGAGGATTAGATACATGGGAGGGAATCTAGTTATTATTAATTGCTTCTGACAGCCAATAAACCAAAGAGGGGCTAGTTTTCTTACCTGGTTATGTCGTAGACAAGTAAAGCACCTGCAGCACCTCTATAGTAACTTCTTGTTACAGACCTGAAATATAATTGACAGATAGATATCTATTTTTTTGTTGTATATTTTATTTAAAGTCTAGGTTTCATATATCTATTGTATTATATAAACAATTATTTTTTTAATAAAAAGAGAAAAGTGATTTTAATCATAATGCAGCAGCAAAAACTTATAATTAGGCTTTTGACAGATGACAAGTTTTCAGGGAATGCAGTCATACAATGATTTCTGAAAGTCTATTCTGATCCATGTCCTGCTGAAGATACATTTAAAATATGGCCTGACATAGTGAGAGCTGGTGATGGTAATTGCTCAGCTTTCATGCCACAGTTAACTTATGTTTCAGCTTCCAGCAGTAAAGGGTGAGTGAAGTAAATGCCACTGAACAACTTAAGACTCCGTAAAAAGGAGGCAAAGAACACAAAGCATTCTTCAAAAGGTAGAGGATGAATTAAAAACAGACTGCTAAGTATGCTAAGTTTGATCAGTCTTAAAAAGAAAAGGCTGACATAGATTATAAAAAGCACTTGGAGAAAAGAGTCTGCACGTCTGTAAATGCATTCAACTTACAGGAACATCATTTTCATGAGCCTCTAAAACAAGCTCCTCACAATCTCAGGGTATCTAGCCAGCAGACTGGAGACATCTTACTGCATATCACTGCGTGGCTTTGCCTTATAGAAGACAAGTATTTGGATTGCAGTCCATTCCCCAGACTTTTACTACTGCACTCACTTTTGTTAACCACTGGTAGCTCCCTATACTCCGTAAACAAGCAAAACAGACACCCCAAACCAATAAAAAACCTCAGAGAGACCATATTTGATAGCAAATATACTCAAACATATAACTTCTTTGCCAAATGTGATATATGCCTACTTTTAAGCAGGAATAGATAATACCCAACATCCAAAGTAATGATTTAACAAGAAACAACATTTAATAAAATGGCTGAAAAGGGTACCTGAATCTCTCTTGTCCTGCTGTATCCCATATCTGCAATTTCACATATTTACCACCAACATTTATTATCTTTGAACCAAATTCCACTCCTATGGTATGATTCGAATCATCTTTAACTAAAAAAAAAAAAGATGAAAAAACAGATTTATTATTCACCCCAAATATTCTCCAAATAAGTAGTTTTCATTAAATCAACTTAGATGTGATAAAAATTTTCCGGTGTTCAAATTACAAACTACTTCCTGAACAAACAAAATCAGTGCAGCTATTGCCATCATGCAGAAAAAAGATTTCTTACAAGTTTTGAAGATCCCATTGAATTAAAAATTATTACTATAACGGCCTGCCTTAATCAAATTCTTATGGCTCCCACTAATGAATGGAAAGACAACACTTTCTTCAATTTTGTTTCCCAATGCTGCATGGCAATTTAAAACAGAAGGAAAAGCAGAGCACAAAATGCCAGTCTTTTCCATGAATATGCAAAATACGTTTCTTTTTTAATGTTAAGACACTACTGCACATATTCTCAGCAATAAGTTTCTTGATTATACATCATAATCTCAGAGCTGTTTCTCAAGAGAATTACAGTTTGGCTGAGGAAGATAAGCTTTTAGGGAACCCTTGCTGCGCTCACATATACTTACATTTCTTTTCAATAAACTGGTGTAGTAAACAGGATTTTCCAGTCCCAGCATTTCCTATGACCAAGAACTTAAACAGGAAATCTGAAGATTAAAAAAAAAATTGCTAACTTTTAGTGATGTTAGAAAGTGAGAGCAAAGAGTGTTACTTGTTTATGGAGGTACAAGAATGACAGCAGGAGATGAAAATGATGGAATCAGAAGGCATCTGGCTGACTTTTCTACCAGAAACCTACTTCATGGGTAAATAAGCTATCAGCTACAGTCAGCACAAATGCCCTCTATAACAACATCAACTCAAACAAACAAAAACCCAACAGACCTTTTAATACTTGTATAATCTGAAAAGAGTGGAATGTGTTTTCTACAAATTTACCTGCAAGGCTTTTTTATTCTGGACTCTCTGCTTTTGTGTTTCTTCCATATGGCAAATTAAGAAGTTACTTCTGGCACTTCACCTACTTAGGTGCCATTTACATTAGCGTTCATTTAGTAATGCCAATACTCAAAATCTCTTTTGCCTTGTTCCAGACACCTCTGATACTACCTTTCCAGTTTTGCTAAAGACCGAAGAAAGCTTCCTTGTCTTATCAATCTCAAAGATTTGCACTGATAAACTATGATAACAATGTTTACAATTACTTTCCCAACTATTTATTTTTCTACCAACGGCATTCTTTTTACAGTCATCTTTACAACTTTATTGCATCATTTCTATTATAAACACAGTAGGTCTCCAGAAGACAACAGATAAGCACACAATGAAAAGGATTAAGCTTGCAATACAAACAAAAATAAAAACCTAGCATTAATATCATTAACAGTGCTCAAAGCTCTCAAATACATCACAGTAAATTCATGGGATTGCAGAATAAAAACAGGAATACACACCAACTCGGTTAAAGCACTGATTCATTACTTCACCAGAATTTTGTTTGAACCTCTGGCTTTGTAAGTTGAATTTAACATGCACAAAGAAGTCTGCCCAATTATTTTCTTTTATGAAGAAATTATAGCATCACAGAATCTCAGAATGTCAGGGATTGGAAGGGAGTTCAAAAGATCATCTAGTCCAATCACCCTGCTGTAGCAGGAACACCAATCATAGAATGGTTTGGGTTGGAAGGGACATTTAAGATCATGTAGTTCCAACCCCTGCTATAGGCAGGGACACCTCCCTCTAGACCAGGTTGCTCAAGATTCTACGATTCTATGAAAATTTAAAGAAATAAAAATAAGAGTATCTTATATTCTTATTCATGGTAAGCAGTTTCCCACTGTTGAAAAGTCAACAGCAAAAGCTATGAAAATTCAATAGCAAAATAGCTATGAATCCAGGAATGTCCAACATCCTTTGTTTTCAGTTGTCCTTCAGATGTTATTATCTTTAAACTGAAGTATTATTTTTACATATCTTTACATCATTTTTTGTTTCAAACACTGTAACAGACTTTGGAATGGACTCTGTTCTGAAAGACTTGCCTTTTTTCACTCACAAATATAATCATTGACACTCTCTAGACATTCTGTTCCAAACCCCTATCGTTCTTCCTGCCCCCACTCAGCCATTTGTGCTTTCTAGACCAAGAAAAGAGATTTTGGTTCAGATTGCCTATTATCTCCTGTAGAGAAGGACCCTTTACGTCATTTCAATTGCAAAACACACTGAGGCTCAGAATATTTCATTCTTCACACTATCAAATCTCCACTGTTAGCATGGAATGTACGTAAGTCATAAATAACCCTTAAGTGTTTGGTTTAAAAAAAAATCCTCTCTGAAAGTTTCTCTTTTATGCACCAAATAACCCTAGTGAGCTACTTTGTGCACCTTCCTATATATTTAACCAACGTGGGTGTGTGTAATCTCCCTGCTTTTATCACTTCCAAAGAGTTCCTCAAAAAGCAAAATGTTCTGAGACATCTGCAACTAGAGTACTGTTGTCTTGTCTCTGCAGCTTTTCCAAAAATAAATTTGAAACCCAGTTAAAACTGGTTCTCCTGCATGTTTGGTAAATGCTGTTTGCCAGAATTTCCCATCAAAGACAACTAAAAAAGAGTAAATCAAATATACTTTTTTTTTTCCCATGGACTACTCATACAATTTAACAGCTACCATCAAACTACAACAGGAGACACATCATATCAACACTCTATTCCTACTCTAATTTCTCTGTCATTTTAGGCCCTGGATGTCAAATGTGGTTGAATAAAGGCATATTTTACAATCCATGTTGTGCAGCACATTTAACAAGATGCTCCATTCTGTGTGGCCAGGCTGCCGGCCAGCAAAAAGTTCCGAGACAATGGTGTCACTGTCAGGGACTCATAGGGAACAGACTGAGAACAGCAGTGTATTTTTCCTGAGGTGCTTTGATTTGAGGCGCTTTTTTTTTGCTCTGAGGGCAAGAGTGATATTGGAGATTTCATATTAATTCCTTTAAATTGATATCATAACAGCACTTTACAGGTAGACTCCTAATTCATATTAAGATTCTATTGTGCCAGGCAACTTTAAGTGGGAATCTTTTCTATGGATACATATTTGGATAGATGATTATTCATTATCTGCTTACCTGGTAGACAAAAAATGCTTCCATCTGCCAAAAAAAACAAACAAGTGTTCTAAGGTGAAACTTGAAACTGCAGTTTCATACAGTAACCACGTGAATTGTAAGGAAGTCTGTTTTAATCACTCATAGAATGGAAACACCCAAAGTTTCTATAAAAATGAAAATCTTTTTGCGCTGGGGAAAGCAGCAACCTTTCAGAGCATGCAAACTGGAGCAAGGAAAGTAAAACTCCACAGTCATGTTCACAACATACTTCTATCACTTGAAATGTCTTTACATAAGTTGCTTAAAAGAGCACAAGGCTCTCAGTTCAGCTTATGTTAATAGTTTATCCAGAAGCATCAGACAACATGTTTCAGGAAACGTGGAATACCGTGTACATTTGAAACAAGGACAGGAAAAGGCATGTGCCAATACCAAAAGTCACAAATACGCATATTTATTGAGTTGATGTGCTGGGCTACGAACCTCGAAATGCTCTCAACAAAGAAATGAAGCAGGTAAGAAGAGAGAGAATAGTTTTTCAGTTTACTGTTCCAGAATGTATTTCATATGGGTCACTTTGCATGGTAACGACAAGAGTTATTGGTAATGTTTTTATAACTTCCTCATTGTTTGATTCAGAAAAAAAATATCTTCTCTCTCAGCTGTAAGGACACCTAAAAAAATTTAGCACAGCTCAGAAACTGAATGAGAAAGATTGAAAGAAGTTGCGTGCCCAAACTGAAACACTATTTTGTACTCAAAAAAAGCTTCCATGTACTAATTCTTTCCAATTTTACTGAATGCAACTCATATGCTAGCGTTTGTACTACTGCTTAGTAGTCCTAGTTTTTCATTTTGAACTCCTCTCCCAGAGTTAACTCACTTCATAGTTTCGGGTTTTTTTTTTTTCTCCCCCTTCAATTGACAAAGAAGCTCTGAGCTCCAACATTCCAGTTAGCCACTAAGGCTGTCACCCTAGAGAAGTTTTTTCTTATGATCTCTGTTGTTCCTCCTTCGTTGAGAAGCTGAAAAGGAACATCATTCCAATGTTAAAAATGCTTGCCATCATTCTGGCTACTAAGAAGATCTGGAAAAGTTAAAGTACTTTGCCTGTAAATAATGTCTTTATACAGAGAAAGGATTTAAAATGAAAATTAAACATTGTGCCAAAAAGAAAAAGGGCCACAAGACATGCATTAGAGAAAGCATAAGGAGTTAAAGATAGCATATCTTGGCTGTTTAAGAAAATAAGACGTCATAAAGAATCAGTTTACTGCTTTTGGTAAGCTACATGCATCACCTGGTCCCACACTGGGTAGGAGTTACAGGGAGTAAAGCAGTGGGACTGATCCCTGTTCCCCAGCACAGGTGAAAAGCAATCAGTAACACCGTGGCTCCACCCCAAAGAGGCACCAGCAGCTGAACTGCTGTGTGCAGGGGGAGGAAAGGGCTGAGGGGGGAGGAGAAGGGAGACAATCGTGGGCTTTGACTCAACTACCGTGGTAGATCAAAACCAGATGGTTGGTGTGGAAACCACCCCAGGACATCCAACCTCCTCCTTTGACTGAAATTGATTCCAGCAGAGGGGAAAAAATTGAACAGCTTCCGAACCACTGCAGCTCAGTCTTTAAAACATAGCATGAATTGTTTCCTGTATTCTTCTTAATACAGAAGGGGAAAAAAATCGACCAAATTATATCCTCTTTCATAGATCAGTCTTCTACCAAATCCTCAATAGAGAGTAGAACATACATTCATTAGTTTCCAAAGGATCAGCAGTATTTCATTCATGTCATTAAAAACAAAAAATTTTCCTAGTAGTCAGGTATCTTTTATTTTGTAGAAGTCTGCATAAGGGAAGAGTGCTCTGTAGCAATCCTATTGGCAATATGCTGCCTTTAAATGAGAGAAAAGAACAGCTAACTCTTTGTACTTCTTTCTCTTGCAACAGCAATTAAGATCAACAGGTAGAACAGAAACTTGGCTCAACTTGGCTCTTTATCTGCATAAAGACTGCTTAGAAGGAGGAAGCTTTGCTTCCTGATGAACAAAAAAGCCATGCCCTCTAGGCAATAAAAGAAATTCTGAAATAAACTGAAGACTAAGGTGATAAATGAAAACACATTTACTAAGTATATACGGGGAAAAGGGAAGGCAGGACTGGGAGAAAAGCAGGAGTCAAATTATCTGGACAAAGGAGAAATACATTTCAGTGGACAGACAGCTTATGCATTCCAACAACAGACTGACAGACCCATGATCAGACTGGTAGTAGCAGATATTCAATGAGAAAAGAGAAGAAGTAGGAACTGAAAAGATTTGAGTGAAATGTACCATCTTCCCAAAGATAGTGTAATCTTCTAGCCTTATACCATTTAAACTAAAAGGTGGTTTTGCATTTATCAGTTAAGAGTAAGCCATAAAAAAAAAAAAACAATCCATATTTACCATAATGTGAAAATGCATGCATTTTACACTGGGAAGCAGGACAAACTCTGCATGTGTCCCCTACTAAGTATCTATATACACTACAGACACTGTATTACAGGAAACATGAGTTACTCACTGGAAAATTAAGAGATTTGTTTCCACTGTTACAAGCTGTATGTTTTAGATATATATATTTTTTTAAGATTGTATTGGATCATTCTACTGAAGTTGTACCACAGTAGAAATCCCAGCTTGTTTCAGTTTAGATCTCAACTGAGTACAGTCAGACTCAAATTACCTCTCCAAACCGAGCTGAAAACATGGAGAGAATGGAAAACTACACACTGAAGAACAACATCCCAGACACTATTTCTATTAATTATTCATTCTATCATAATACTGCTTCCCAGAGCAAACTGAGTCATCACACTCCCATGCTAACAACACTATAGAGAAGAGAGAGTACTATTTTGGTGATACATTTGCAGTGAACTATTGTTGGATGTTTGTATGGTGAAACTTGGACTTAGAAGAAAAGACTTATTTTTTTTCCAGTGAAATCAAGTAAATTTCTAAGTTGTGTGATGCAGCCATTACAATTTGAACAAACACTGCATTTCGTATCAGTCCATTTCACTGTCTGCTGTAGAAACTGGAACTCAAGTTCCACAGGTCTCCAGCTCTTGATGCCCCACCAGTAGCAATGCCAAGCAAGCAAAAACTTGCAGAGAAAATTAAATTCATACTTATATCCAATCCAGTTACAACTTTTCATTCCCTATTTATACAAGTATTACAATTGGTGGGCAGCGGATTCAAGGTTTAAAAACATGGCAGTGTTTCCATCCACCTCCCACCTTGCTTGAGAACAGGTGTGTATGAATCTTTGAGCATACATGAAGATACTCCAAGGACCCTGGAAAACATCGAGCCTGAAGCCTCAAAAATATTAATCAAATACACAGTGAAATTCAACTCATTAAAAAAACTTTTTTTTTTTTTTTCTTTTTCTTAAAGGCAACTGGCAACAGTAAGAGAAAGGAGAAGCACCCTTAACTGTGGGATTATAACTTCTACTGCAGGCAATTTACAATATTGCTATTAAACATAAGGATCTTCCAGAAAGAACAGAATTGAGCAAAGATAGTACAGTTTTCAAATCCTGAGAGTAAAGCAAAATGATTGGTTATGGTAAAGCAGTTTCATTAAGCAGAAAAATATTTATTAGGAAAAAAAGAAATAACCCCCATCCCTAGCATTAGGAATTCCCAAGTAATTCTAAGAAAGCTCAAAGGCTTGCCAAATATTTCTAATACCCAAATGTATCCTGAAAAAGAAGAGATTGCCTAAGTAAGTTTCTTCTAAATAGCTTTTGGAAAAATACAGTCTACAGTCTGAAAAATACAGAGCCAAAACATTGTCAGAATTAGAAGAATCTAAGTAAAAGTGCTATGTATAGTTATTCTGCAGTTAACAAGAAAAAAAAAGAGAAATACAGCACTTACATGTAGCTAGCAATGACAGTTAGCAAACAGACTGCAATGTCTCATAATTTCAAATAGACAATTAATGCACAGTCCTCAAAATCACAGCAACTCGATCAAAACCATTAAAAGTGATACCAACCTCTAGCTAAGCCATGGCAGCTAACATTAAAAAGACTAAAAACTTTTAATGGCAAGAATGAAGGCAATTTAACTTGTGCTGTTTTATGCAAATGCATTTTATCTTTCCATCAATAAGGTCTATGCAACCATGAGTGAAATCTCAAAGAGGAGAGATGGAGATAAATATCACACTGCTCCAGCAAAACAGGTAAGGTCATCAAGTAAAACTGGCTATCAAGTAGAACTCAAGAAACAAGGAGAAGGCCTTTCACAGAACAGATCGTTTACATAGGGAGCTCCCTGCCAAAGGGTGCCATGAACACAAATTTGCATTTGAGAAAAGATTGGGCATGTTCATGAAGAAAAACCTGCTGAGGTTTCTCAAGAGAAACTACAGTCAGCTCTGAGAACTATTAATATTAAAATAGTTGGAGGTTGAAGAATATTATGGAAAGCATCCCATCTACTTGCCCTGCTCTCATCCTCTTTCCAAGGCACCAACAGGACACTGCAAAATTAGATATTGGTTACTTCTACGGTCAGAGATGTTAACAATGGTTAAATTATCTATGTCACGCCATAACTTGATTTATATTTTCCCATCCATTTTAAATCCTGATAGTCATGTACTTCAGCTCAGAATTTCTATAGCTTAATTGTGTACAAAAAGAATAAACATTGGAACTCGGAAGAAAAATACACCAAAGAGAAAAGGAATAAAAGGAATAACCCACAACAACTGCAAAACTTCAGTGTTAAGGCCATAGTTTCCAAGACACCAAACCAATTAGAAAGTATCAACAGTTAGAGTGGGCTTACAATTACTATTCTGCATGACTGGAACAATGCAAAAAATGTCTGAAATGTACTTGTTTAAGATGCAATCATCTATATGATGCTGCTGCAATAGCAAGCAGGCTAAAGAGCAGAGCTAGAACACTTCGCACCTTCTCTGGTTGCTGATCCATTTGATTGCTTGGAAACCACCAATTCCAACACAAGTGTAACAGAAACGATGCCAGCTCTTGATCACGTGAATTTAGACTACAAGAAGTTGGTCCAAACTCTTATCTAGATCTACAAGGCACACCTCTAATCCAGCTTCTGCCTACATGTTTCAAGCGTGGAAAAAAGAAGCAGGGTCTCAACGCTTATACTTCAAACGCTGCCTCATGCTCTTGCCTCATTTTGCCCAACAGTTCCTTGCTGTACACCTGCTGTACACCAAAGCGTTGACCACTGTGTGAAAAAACATCTTAGCCACCGGTGGAAACTGAAAGCAAACAGGCTTGCGCAGCAGAAGCCAGCAGTTAACATTCTGATAAGAACTCCTGCGGGCAACACCGGGCTGTCTCACAGCCAGCAGAGGTACTGCACCTCACTGTACCGCACCTAGGAAGCTATTTATTTCCAGGACTGCGCTCTCCCGACAACGAGACACACGTCCAAGTCAGAACAGCTGCTGAGGTCGGAGGAGACGAAGGAACATACCCACCACACCGCGTTCGAGGCTGCTCTCACCCACCCTGGTGCCGCGGCACGGAGGCTCCGCAGCCTTTACGTGCGAGAGCGCAGCCGTTCCGCAACATGTCACCGGCCGCGCTACGCAAAGGGGCGGAAAGCCGAGGCGCGCTCGGCCGGCTCGAGCAAAGTTAGGGCAAAGAGGCACGCAGGCTACCGCTGCGGGCCGACACCAGCCCTGCCCACCTACAGAGCCCTCGCTTCACCCCCAACCTCCTCCTCGGGGCCCCCGACGGGAGGCCGCGCTCCCGCCCTGCGCAGGGCCGCACCCGCTGCCCCCCGCTTCCCGTCACGGTCCGTTCGCACGGCTCCACCCCCGGCTCCTACCGTAGGTCTCGGACATGGCAGCCTGCGACATTTCGCGAGTAGCAAACCTCCCTCGCTCGCTCCGCTCCCGCGCCGTGCCCGGGAAGCGAGCCGCCGGGCGGAGACTCCCAGCCCCGCAGCACCGAGCGCACACCCCTCACCGCCGCCGTGCCGCCCCACCTCACCTCGCCCCACCCCGCCCCGCCCCTGGCCCCGGCCGCCGCTGCGCATGCGCGCCCTTCTCCCACCCCACCCCCCTCGGAACGGCGCAGGCGGGCGGAGCTCGTTGTGTTCTGCCGAGAGGAGGCGCGCCTCTGCCGTGCGTTCTGTAGAGCTGCCGCCCGAGGAGTGTGTTCTCGTCGGGGCGGGCTGCTGGAGAGGGCAGTTCCCTTCTTCTCAAGTGTCTCCCAGCTCTCCTCGACAAGGCGATGAGACCCCAGGCCGCGCTCCCTCGTGCCCCTCCGCCCGCAGCCTTCCATCCCGTCCCCTTGCATCTTGTCCTTGGCGTTCTAACTTCCCAGTCCTCCTGACTCACTGTTGCTTCCCAGGCCGTAGGGAAACAGAACTGGGCCTTGAAGCTCGGCCTAGTAGCACTGAATTTCTGATGGTTGGTTACACACACACAACTTGAATTCAAAGATAAGTGTCAGCAGCAACAGAAAAAAAAAAACAAAACCAAACAGGAGCTTGGTTAACACAGAAGTAGACAGATTTTGCCTGATTCCTGAAACATAATGTGCTGTATCAGTAAGAAGACATGCAGATCTAGCCATCTTGTACATACAGTACATACTCTAGGCTAAATGACAAATTAGTCTCATGTGATCAAAACAAGCTTACATATATGGAAGTTATATTCGATAAATATCACACTCCTTGCCTCCAGCCACTCCCAATTAGGTAACATGCACCTACTGATAAAATACATCAGAAGTATATAGCCTTCTGTAAGTATCCTGTTAGTAATATTGAAGAAAAAGATGGGTGTTGGAAGAATGGTAAAGGAAAGGCAGAGTCCCTGTTCATGGAGTTGTCCAAGAAATGTGTAGATGTGGCACTGAGGGACAGAGATAATGGGCATGGTGGGGATGGGTTGGTGGTTTGACTAGATAATCTTAGTGGCCTCTTCCAACCTTAATGATTCTGTGACTGTGAAAAGGATTGGGTCTTACAGCATTTCTACTTTGAAGATGAAATTGAGAACGAAGTAAAATTCACAAATAATGAGTGCTTGCACTACGTTGGAGAATATATTGCTGGTATTTGAGGGATCTGAGAATATAGGCTACTGTATTTTAATAGAGATGTTAGTTCTGAGTAACTGAAAAATAAAGAGCTACAACTGACTTCACTGGTGTCCACCTGTAGTCTGAGAATGAAGAAAGCTGAAAGCCAAAAGTTTAATTTGTCTTCTGGCTCATGTAAAGACAGAGACATCATGTCAAATTGTGTCTGCAGATCAGACGTTTAAACACTATCATTTGTTCCCCAAATTACTTTCACCACAGTTACTGTTCCTGTAATTGGCTGTAGTTGTAAAATTGCTGCCCAAAAGGCCATGTTGATGTTTCTTTAAAAATGATAATCTGATTTTTTAGAGTTTTTACTAACCAGAGTACCAGAATATTAGTGTTTGATACCCTAGAAGTAGAAGAGAACTACAAGATATCCTCAGATGCAGACTCAGGATGGAGGATTCTGCAAAAGCTCTTTCCTCCAAATGGAAACAACCTGACCTCTGGGACTCAGCAGATATGGAATTGGCTTTTAATGCCTTTCCCTATTACAGGGAAACAAAATTCAGCCTGAAATGGAACCATATTTTTGATTCACCTTCACAGAGTGCTCAGTCATCCAACATTCATCCTGTGAAGTGGGCCTGCAGGATCCTTTTGCCATGGCTCCAAAGACATGCTTGTGTGTGGCACTTAAGGACATGGTTTAGCGAGCATGATGGAGACAGGTTAACATTAGGACCTGATAATCTTAGATGTCTTTTCCTAATAGTTGTAGGATTCTGTTAGATGTGGGAGTGATAGGACATGTCTTGGTTTAGTCTGAAGGTGGCACTACAGGGCCATTTGTGAAAGGCACTGTGGTAACGCAATACTTCATATATGTTTTCTTGAGTTACGGTTGCATGGCATGCAGTCCCACCTGAGAGGTTCAGTTAAAACCATTATGTGATAGCTATGGAAAGCAACCAAGTGTATGTAGAAGCTGCAGGCTTCAAATAGATTTGAAGTGGTCATGAATTTGGCTCCAACAAACCAAATGAAATATGGAGACAGGTGATTGATTCTCTGAGACACCTCAGAGATTTACATGTACTTGGTGTCACTGGCCAGCTGACTTCATCTGAAAACAACTGACATCATCTGAATACTGTCATCTTCAACTTCCACTGACGCTGCCCTCAACCTATGAATGTGGTTGTCAATTAATGTAATTGCAGTTATTCAGGGAAATTTATGGGCTAAATGTTTCTAAAGTCTTGGGCTAGTTCCTCAGATGTTGGCCTGGAGTGGATGGAGGTGGTGAAGAAGGTGATGCTTCAGGTGCTGTGATTGATCTCCTTTTTTGTGGCCCAGGGTAAACTTTCCCAAGACCAAGTATGATTCCCTCAGGCTATACTGCTGAATTGACAATTGGTGAAGGCCGGAGTCCAGCGTGCTGTCTGCTAGTGACCTTCTATTCCTCTTCAACATGCTGTCTTCACCAGTGGTAGGGAGAAAGCGGCCACGCTGTGCGGTTTAGGGAAACTCAGGATTCCTGAACAATTGCCAGGAGCTGGGATAAGCTCATTTTCAGATAAATCCACAGTATAATGCAGAAATACTAATTTGCTCTAATGTAGGATGGGGTACTGTTCCTTTTTATCTTGCAAAAGCTTATATATCATTTTTAAAGGTTTTGTTCAGAGAAACATGTTAATGGATTTTAAAGTAGATCAACATATAGGCCACAGATTTTGAAAACACTGATTTAATTTTTCAAGATCTGTGTAAATAAAGTGATGAGGCCTAAATATTTATTCCAGGAGAAAATGAAGATAACAGTACTTTGGGTCTTTTTAGAATTATATGATACATTTACGTTGTCTGGAACGCAGTTTGTATGAAACTCACTGTATTTTATGAAGTTAGCCTCATGGTGTCACTGATTAACTGCTCCGCTGGTGAAATACAGTAGCAATGGGATGTAGTAGGCTGCATTTGTTCACTTTTACTGTCATTATATTTGAAATAGACAGTTTGTTAACAGGTTATTCTGAAAGACTTGAGACCACACAGGTATTCCTTCTCATGAGCCCAAAGTGGTTCTCTGCTCTGGAGAACTCACATGCAGCAGAAACATTGCTCATTTGGGTCCTGCTTCTCGAGAAAATATCCTCAAACATGCAAAATACCAATCTTGATTCAGTTCTACCACTTCAGATGCCTGAATGCATCATGGGAAAGTACTGAGGCACACTTTGCACATGGATATCATCTGTCATCTGCATGGTTCACTTGGATGGCTCATCAGGTCTAGGTCCGTGTGAGCTGCACATTTGAGAAAGAATTTGCTGTCATGCCCCATATTTCAGATAACCAAGCAGTGGAGGCATGACCTCATGCTCCCAAGGCCATGGTTCCCATACTGCTGAATCAAGGACCTGTCCAAAATGTACCACAATGCCCATGCCTGCTGCAGCCGTGCAGCTGATCCATAGCCTGTGGAGGTGCTCCTATGTCCCCCCTTTATATGTAGTGTAAGCACACAGCAGTTATCTGGGCACCATCCATCATCAGTGTGGAATTAGAGGCACTACAGAGAATGCCTCAGCACAGGTATCTTCACGAGCCATCTGAAGACTTGGATCTCCTTCTCTCCTTTGGTTCTGTCACAGAGGGAGCGCAATTCATGCTTGGAAAAACTAAATTTTGGGTACCTAAAGGCACATTTTATTGTGCTAAACTTCCTCTCTGAGCTGTTACCTACCTTTAAACATGCAGTCTGCAGTGACTGCCTTATCTCTGAAAGTAGCTTTCTTTCAATAATCCAAAAAATCTGTGAAGCTCCTGATTTATGTTAGTTCTGTTTTGTACACAGATGTGGCTGAGGAGACACAAACTGGTAGCGCTGAGCTGTGCTCAGTGAAAAATGTCCCTGACTGGCAAGAGTCCTTTGGTCATCAGGTGCTGCAGTTTTCAGCTGCAGTGTTGCTGCAATCAGTTGCAATTGCATTCAACTTTTTCCTAATATTGCTGTCCCCCTGAATGTGGTGGTATCATGTAGTCACAAGGCTGGGTAAGTGAAGGGGCCAAAGAAGGATACACTGCATGTCTGCCGCAGCAGTAAGAACATCACAGCAGTTAGAGGAGAAGAAAGCTGTGCATGAGGGAATGTCTTTAGGGCTAACATCTTGCTATGATTTTGCATGAGCCTGTAGATGTGCCAAGATGTTTTAAGAAGTCTGCAGTGCAGTGTTAAGTCTTTAGCCACTAATGATGTGCTACATTTTCCTGAAGCCACAGAATATTTACGTCTTAAAAGCCTTAAGACTAGCATTTTTCAACTTGCGAAACATTTCGTGACAGAAAATCTCTTGTTACTTATTACGTCTTTGGAATAGTTGTTTTTTTTTTCAAACTCTCAAAAAATCCAGAACATCTGAGGTCTAAGATAGGTTTTTGTAGACAATTTTTTTTTTATTTTTATATTTTATTTTAACATGCATTCACCTTGCTGTTTTCTGAGACGGAGGTGTCTGAGCTGCCTCATATGGATGCTCTACAAAGAAGACTGGATGTTCTCTGTAGTTCATGGGCAGATCCAGCCATCTGGCAAGCTGCTTGCAAGGACCTATCCTGATGATACATGGATTTAAGGTCATATGCCTTTTGCTAAGCAATGAAACTGCATGTGCAGATTTTTGAAAACAAATATAAAGTAAAAAATGTCTACAGTAATTAATTTAAGAATCAAGTCAAATAATGTCTTTTTATTTTTACCTACAAACACAAATACAAACGTAGTCTTTTCACCTGACAGGCAATTGTTGAAGAGTGTCTGAAGGAGAAATCTGAGCCTAAATAAAACAATATCTATGCAGCAAGTGAATGAATCTCAGTTCCCAAAATGCAATCCTATCTCTGGCCATGCACATCATTTTTCATGGCTGTCTTCTTGCCTGTTTCACCTTCACTT